CTATCATCTATCATCTATCTATCTATCTATCTATCATCTATCTATCTATCTATCTATCTATCTATCTATCATCTATCTATCTATCATCTCCCATTCATGGGGAAATTTGGGCAAATAATCTTCCAAGCCACATTGCACATTGCTATTTCTTTTTTCCTGAAACAGCCTTACATTGGTTTCTGTGAACTTAATTTTTTTAAAAACCTGTCTCTAATGTCTCTGCACAGATGTTAAACATATACTTAGAATAATTCATTCTTATGTTCCTCCATAACAATTTGTGTATACTTTTCTAATAATTCATTGTATGGATGCATGCTTTCACTTGTATGCTATAAGACCATCAAATATTGGGAACATTTTGCATTTGAACCTACATTTTCTCAATCTAAATACAACAGTGTTTCTAGATTGCCCTGATTCTCAGAAGTTTTTCATTTGTTGGAGTATGCCGACAAAAAAGTTTTCCACCCGTGTTTGTTATATAAGAATTCTCCTGGGGGTTGTAGAGATTGCTCAGTAGTTAAGAACACTGACTACTCTTGCAGAAGACCTGGGTTCAAACCCCAGAACCCACATGGCAGCTAACAACTGTCCGTAACTCCAGTTCCAGGGTATCTGACAGCCTCTTCAGTCCTCCATGGGCATTGCACGATGACACGGTTGCACTTACCTACATGCAGGCAATACACGCATACACATAAAATAAAAATAATAAATAAAAATTTTAAAAAGTTCTGTGTAATTGTCAGCAAATATTTTTAAGACAAAAATTTTTCTTGGTTAATAACATTTTCTGTTTTTTTTTCCTTTACCTCATGTGATGAAGCTTGTCAAGTAAATTTCTTAGAAGTTTACTAATATTTTGCAGAGACAGCTATGCACATGTAGTGTTTAAAATGGCTAGAAATGTTTATTTGAGACAAATATTGATAAGCTTTTCTAAACCATAAAACACTGAATATGGTGCAACTTGTTAAGGAATCTTGAGAGAGATGTGTTTTAGATCTTAAGTAATTAAACAAATTTCCCCAGAAATACATAAAATATAAATCATTTGATCGCAAATCTTAGTTTCCCTATGGATTTTAACTAACTTAATTGCTTTCTCCTGGGTTTAGTTGATGAAAAACTTTACTAGTATAGAATTTTATCTGATACCATTTGTTGTAAGAAATCCTTTATTTGCTGTTTCTTATGTTCATGTAGATAAACACACTGGACTGTGGATACCATTCTAGAATGTATGGCTATGTTGAGCTGTTTTATCCGAAGAACACACTGCTGTTACCTCAGGGCAAGACGAGCTCAGAGCAAGGCCTCTGAGCAGGACTACTATCTAGCTAGAGTAACTACACCAAGCCCAGCTACCATTGCTCTAGGGCAGTAAGACATCGAAGCACTGCCTGACTGTGCATAGAAACCTCCGTCAAAACAGTCCCTTAGCCCCTTGGTAGTTTCTTTCTACTATCTAGCCTACTGTGTCTATAACACAGTGTATTAAATAAACTCTGTTTCTGACTTTTACTTGTGCTCTTTTTCTGGCCTGCCACTACCATCCCTGATGGCACAGACTTGATATTGAATGGCAATTTTTTAGCGTTGTTAAATGCTTAATATATGTCAGGCACTATTTTAAGCATTCTTATGTGAATGAAATAAGTTAATTTGCTAATTAAATTCTCACAACAGCTCCACCATGAGATTGCTTTACTGTTCCTTCACTATTCAGCTTATAAAAAATACATAAGACAAAATATGTGGTTAAAAAGGAAAGATTTTTTTCTATCCAGGGAAATGAAACTTTAGGCTCCTATGTCTTAGAAAACACAGAGAACATGTGAATCTACCAGATTTGACTAATGAATTCAGAAATTCTGGAGGAAAACAACCAATGAGCTGTAATGAAAACATACTATTTGCAAACACTGTTTGTTAAAGAGAAGGAGACCATTAGTAAAGAGCTTAGCTAGCTGGATTAGAGGAAAATTCTCTCCCCATCTGTCCTAATTAGCTTATCTCTCCTGCTTCCAGAGTGTGCTGATCAAGTCAGAAAAGAAGTGAGAGATATTTTGGAAGGGCAGTTTTGATTTTATTTATATCGCCAATTTACAATGGTTTTGGAATGGTTGTCCATTCTGAAACACAAACTTTTAACTGTGAAACCTTCTTTGTAACAACTAGTTAGTGGAAATTTCAAGACTCTGGGTGCCCACTTAAGGATTTTGCCAGTTCCTCATTTCTTTGGTTTTGACGCAGATGATTATGTATCCTTTTGGGGGGAAGATTTTTCTGGGTATTTTGATATTTGTCCTGACAGAAGGAAGCCTTGTATCATTCTCAGGTAATTGAAAACTGATATTTGTTTTTAGATTTCAATATATGGTTAGTATATCTCTTAAAATAGTATTTGGTGTAATTGCTGCTAGAAATTGCAAAAATATGCCAATTAGTCTTTGATATTGCTTTATTAAACTACTCTAAAGCCTCTCCAGTGATCTGAGTTTCCTTTCACTAATAATTCTAGGTTCAAACCTTACTTCCCCTACTTCCTTGTGTCGGAAGATACTACTTGTTTTTCAAAACAATCTTATTTGCTACCTTTTGTATTGTGCCTTCACTCCTCACCAGAAGTAACATGTTTTGTCTTTAGAAGAGATGCAAGAACCCAGGAGCTCATTTTCCGGCCTTCTGCCTGAAGAATCTGCAAGTGCTTCCCTGCTTATCGCAAGGGGACAGCTAGACGGTAGAGAACCTGGGAGAAGATGGTGGCTTAGAAGGCGCAGGCAGCGATCCGTTCTGTTCCCAAATGGAGTAAAAATTTGCCCAAATGAAAGTGTTACAGAGGCTGTGGCAAACCACGTGAAGTATTTTAAAGCCCGAGGTAAGCAAACAACCAAACCCATCAGCTCCTTAACGAAATTCAGACATGGAACGCTCACATTTGTTGTGCTTGTAATTAAAAACTTTGATAATTTATATAGAACTGGGTCAGATATTACCTATGAACTGTGAGAAAAGGATTTGCTAAGAATATTTTATACATATATATATATATAATTTGAGAGAAAAGTTTGCATTATTGTAAGAGAAAATGTTTTAAAACGTTTTAAGTAGTTCAAAAATGTTATGGGAGCTAGAAAGTTGACTCAGCAGTTAAGAGCACTGGCTGTTCTTGCAGTGGACCTGGGTTTGGCTCCTAGCTCCCACATAGGGCTAACAATTGTCTATAACTTCAGTTCCAGGGGATTGGACACCCTCTTCTGGTCTCTGGGAGCTTTGAATGACATAGGTGCACTTATGTACATGTAGGCAAATACATAAAAACAAATTTAAAAAATTTAAAAATGTTGTTATGGGGGCTGGAGAGATTTCTCAGTGGTTAAGAATATGTATTGCTCTTCCAGAGGACCCAAGTTTGATTCCCAGCACCTACACCAGGTGGCCAACAGCCCCCTGTAATTCCAGATTCCGGGGATCTGACACTTCTGGCCTCTGAGGGCTCCATATCCTAATATGTGAATGTACACACACACACACACAGAGAGAGAGAGAGAGAGAGAGAGAGAGAGAGAGAGAGAGAGAGAGAGATACATATACACGTGAATAAAAATAAAAAATTTTAAATGTAGTTATGATATTTGGTAAATTAAATGTAACTTTTAATAGTAGTAATTTGCTGAACTGTACCCACAATATATATTTATCAAGGAATACTCACTGCTTGCCCATTTGCTTTATAATGAAAATATAACCATTTCTTTGTTATGTAGTTTGGACATTTCATAGCTTTATGTGAATTGTTGTCTGGTTAAAACAAAAATGTTTCTATGTTAAAAACGACACATCTCACAGTGGTCTCTGAAGCATTTGGATTTTGTTTTGTTTTTAGTTAAGCAAATATGATCCTTGAACTCATATCTTTTGTTATGTGAATTCACTCTGTGTTTCTTACATTTACTAACATGCTTAATTAACTATGCTAGATATCTTAGACATTTGGAGAATTTCCAAACTTTGCTTTCCCCTGTTAAGTAGCCAAGAAGAAGCCATAATATGGATGTGATGATAGTAAGCTATTGTAGAGAGTCATGTTGAAATTATTGCTAAATTAGGATTGTTGTATTACACATTCATTCATTTTATTCAGCTAATGTGTTTTGAGTATGTCTTAGTTTATTCTTTATTGCTGTGACAAAACACTCTGACCAGTACCAACTTGGGGAGGAAATGGTTTATTTGTCTTACATCTCCCAGGTCGCAGTTCATCAGGGAGCCCAAGGTAGGAACTCAGGGCAGGAACCTGGAGGCAGGAGCTGGAGC